CCCAGTCATAAAATACTAGTTTGTGTTTGAAACCTTGTTTGTTTTTGTTTGTTTTGTTTTTTGTTTTTGTTTTTTTTTTTTGACAAACAAGTTTTTGTTTTTTCGATCTGCGCAATGATGTATGTCCGGAAGAAAAACAAGTTGTTATCAAAGGACATTATCATTATATCGACCATCAGCATCATGTATAAAAGGGCATCACTGAGTAAGGATGCCTCATTCGAGGAGATGGCTCACTGAAGAAGATCTGACTCGACACGAAGGCGAAGCTGCCACGTCGAGACGAAAAACAAGCGAGGACCGTCGACTCGGATCATCGGCTCTGAGGAGGACGAAGACGTCGAAACGTTAGCCGAAAATAAACATCATTATCAACCTCGTGTAAGCTTATCAAAGAAAGAATACACATTGACTAGTTTGTGTGTTGTTGAGTGACTGAAACAAGTGTATCAACACCTCAATGTAGTAAAATAAATGGTTTGAAAAAAAGAGTTGATGGAAATAAACGCTAAGTGAGTGCAGATCAACTCTTGTCAGACGTTAAGTGTTCATGTTTCAGATTAAGGGTGCTCTGCGATTTGTTCGTGATTTCCACATAAAAAATCAGAGACGTTTCGATGCACGAGGCTATGCTTGTAGCATCCGCCCACACTGTGCTTTTCGAACAAGTAGCTTTTCGAACTACAGCAATAGCCACTACACCCGTCGAAGAATTACTGGACTGGAAGCGATTCAATAGACTTGGAAGAGCAAAAAGAACGATCACATATGTCCTCAGATTCATCAGCAGATCCAGCTCCAAGCTACCGAAGGAACTGCGCAGCCAAATATACAAGAACATCCCGGAGCTCCAGGCAATGTCAACAGAAACATACGTTACGGCCATAGAGCAAGAAGCAGCCTTACGAGTTTTGATACGAAACCACCAAACAGTTCACCTNAACTACAGCAATAGCCACTACACCCGTCGAAGAATTACTGGACTGGAAGCGATTCAATAGACTTGGAAGAGCAAAAAGAACGATCACATATGTCCTCAGATTCATCAGCAGATCCAGCTCCAAGCTACCGAAGGAACTGCGCAGCCAAATATACAAGAACATCCCGGAGCTCCAGGCAATGTCAACAGAAACATACGTTATGGCCATAGAGCAAGAAGCAGCCTTACGAGTTTTGATGCGAAACCACCAAACAGTTCACCTTTCTTCACGATCGTTGAAAGATTACAAGCATTTGAAACCATATCAGGATGAATGGGGACTCATTCGGTGCAAAGGCAGATTAAATAAAGCAGACCTGCCACGTGAAACTCAGCAACCTATTCTAATCTGCTCAAAAACAGCACTAGCAGAATTAATAGTTGTTGAGGCACATCTCCCATTCCATAATGCAACAAGCCATACCATAGCCAAGGCACGTGAAAGATTCTGGATGACAAGCATAAGGCAAATTGCTAAGAAAGTCATAAGACGATGCCTACCCTGTCAAAAGATGAACAGTCTTCCTTACAATTATCCGGCGATGGACGACTTTCCGGAAAGAAGAGTGAGAAGAGAAGACCGTTCGAACATGTAGGTGTAGACTATTTCGGACCACTAACAGCGAAGAATAGTGAGGGAACGACAAAGGTCTACGGCATCATCATAACATGTGCGACAACCAGACTACTTCATTTAGAACTCGTAAAGAACGTGACGACGAATGACTTCCTGCTAGCTTTAAGGCGATTTTTCGCTAGACGAGGAGTGCCCAAAACTATCACCTCTGATAATGCATCTAATTTCCTACTGAGCGAGCAAATTCTGCAAGACACAGTTCTTCCCGTTAGTAACGACTCGTCACTAGCAAGTACAATGGCAACGAGAGGAGTAACATGGAGGACAATTACGCCGTATGCTCCGTGGCAGGGAGGATTTTACGAGCGTCTCATAAAGTCAGTTAAGTACTCTCTATACAAAGTATTGCAAAAGACGATCCCAACAACGGAAGAATTGGAAACTCTGATCTTAACAGTCGACCTCTCACATACCAAGAAGAAGGCCCCGACAACTTTGTTGCCTTGCGACCAATAGACTTTATCCAGCGTGACATGATAATAACATATCCATTTGAATTCAGTAGAGAAGAGGAAGATGATAAAACGTATCCACCACATCAAGAAGCAGTATTACTACGCACGCGAAAGGAAGTGCAGGATGTCCTCGCATCAAGTCATGAACTGACAGAATATTACTGGAACATTTGGAGCCGTGAATACTTGAAAAGTCTCCGAGAAACTCACAAACTCAATATAAATAACAAACGAGGCACTCGAACGAACCCAACCATAGGGACGGTTGTACTAATTCAAGATCCAGCTTTGCCACGAAACGCGTGGAGAATGGCGCGCATCATCGATTTGAAGCAGACAGAAACGGGTGCAATCCGAGAAGCACAACTCAAGCTACCGAGCGGACGTATCATAAGAAGACTAATTAACTTACTAATTCTGCTTGAGCTGGAAGGCAGTCCGGCAGAGAAACGGTCCGGCACAAATGATGCAACGGAGTCGCCGACTAGCAATCTGCATAGCGCAGTTGGAATTCCAGATCAACGTTATAATCTCCGACCTCGATCACGTGACAACAACGTGCTTACAATCGGCCAAAGATGTTGCTCTCCGCAAGTCGAGGAGGATCACGATCCGAAAAAGCATTCCGAGGAAAACGGTCAAGAAGAACGCGAATCGTTGTGCCACCACTATAACCTTCAATCAGAAAAATTCACTCAACGTACAACATCAGTCACCGCCCTGCCCATTCCTATTGAGGTGGGGGACTATAGAGAATTCTCTATCCACATAGCTAATACAGTTCAAGGATCGATGGGGATCGCGTGGCTGCAACGCCGCGCGCGTCCTCTGCGTCCATATCCCGTTCAGGCATAACTAATACAGTTCAACGATCGATGGGGATCGCGTGGCTGCAACGCCGCGTGCGTCCTCTGCGTCCATATCCCGTTCCGGCCATGGGACACACCCAGTAGTCCCGCCATTCGACCCAACGATGCCGTCGAGACCGTCCTTGCCAGCCCCATCATTAATTCCACTCCGTTAATTTCACTTTGTAGATTCATTTGCTTAGGTTATAATGATAGTATATGTAGCCCTTAGCCCGTGAATCGCTGACACATTAGTGTTATCGTCGTCTTTCGTGTAATTATGTTATCCGTGTTAACATAAGTTAAGTACATTCATTGTTCACAGGTACCTCACAAACGGTTCATAGTTCTTGCGCACTCCCGCGAACGCCCCTCACGTCCTCGAGCTGTGAGCCGTTACACATAGGTCCCTTTTTCTTTCCGGCAATTTATTTTAACGCATAGAATTATTTTCACCACCTGCTTGTTAGCAGTCTATAACTGGTAGAACCCGGTAGAATACACGTTCTGTTGGGCAATGGTTGGGAGAAGTTGTTAGAAATATAGAGCTTCCTAAATAAGTTCTTACTTGTTACTTGAATGGACTGTTCTCACTCGTTGTGCGGAACCCAGCACAATTTCTATTTTGCGGGAATTTGCTGATTGAGCCATTCTGGTTCCATGGAATCTCGAGCTCAGCCTGGCCAAAGTCTGCCCAGGCATTCACCACAGTCACACAATCGGCTATTTACTGTTCGAAACGGCAAAGAGAGGCTTCTCAGTTGTTTGCCGAACCATAGTGGAAATTTATCCAGTTATCAGGAAAATAGTTTATGAATTGGATTATTTTCTATAAACATTGAAACATCACTGATAGAATGAGCTTTAAAGGTTTTAACGCTAACGAAAACTATTTGAGGTCTCAAGAAATCGAAAGGCCTATAGAAAGGAATTTGCTGGGAAGAAAGGCATTAGACGTAGGCATGTGTATAACTGTCTAGAATGCCAGTTACTTTGGGTTTTTTAAGCAAAATTTAAAGATACCAAAAGAAAACATGACGATTTAAAAGATCACACAGCGTTGGTTTGATGAGAGCTATCTTCCCTTATCGTTGCGTTGATTAAGCCCTGGAAAATATTACGTCTCAGCAAAGGTTCCGAATGTCTTTTTCGTCAGTAATAAAGCATAGCAATATAAACAAAAGTAAAAGTAAAAGCGCCTTTCAAGGTGCAAAGGTTATACAAAAATTATTCTTGTAGAAACCGGGTGTGATCAAACTTTGCAAAGTGGAGGTGGGGTCCGCGTCCATCTGCAACTTTCGTTCTAATTATGAGCTTTCATAGGAGAAGCATAGCATGGATAGACGATATGAATTTATATATATATATATATATATATCTGTGTTAGTAGCTTAACAGTGGGCGGCGATTCACGTCGCAATTTATTCACCGTTTTTCCAAAAAAGGTGAGCGAACATATGATCGCTCGAGATCACCTTCTGAAAATGACGGTGAGATTTGAAATCGCTGGTAACATCATTGCAAGTGCACCAAGCAACAAGTTCGCAGGATGCATGACCTTCAACATATTGGAGAAAAGGCGGTTGAAGGGAAACTAAAGAGCAAGAAGTGGGGTGAATTTACCGAGAAAAGTGGCTCATACGATGTTTATCGACGCGGTGAGCAACAACCCATAAAATACACTGAGGAATGCATACATTCGGCTTCTGTTCATTAAACATGGACTAATTTCCACTTTACTACAAAACAAAATTCATCAGATTACCGGAAGATTTTCCTCACCGTATCGTTTTCTTTCAGACATATTCGGAGGCCGCAACCGATATAAATTCAACAGAAGAGTGATAGAGGAGTGGTTCAGGTCTGATTTAAATGACCAGATTTTCTCTATTACTGCATTTATTTATGGCTTTATTGAGCCCTCAAGTAGTTAAAGCCCCAACTATTGGCGGTGCAATACCTGAAATATTCCTTGACCACAACTAAAGAAATCCTGAGCCGTAAGCCTTCGCTAAATCTAAGGCTTTACGCCGAAAACCGATGCAAACATTTTCGTGGTGACTGCAGTTATTGTAGGTAGAGGAATTTAAGCTTGTTTACAGACCTTTGGTAGAGGAATACCAAAGATTGCCGGCTATAAGTCGAAGGACTGTAAGCCTGTGCTGAACTCGCTCCAGTTCCCCTTAACAAGAAGTTCTAGACCGCATCTCCATCATTACTAAGAAATTGCTCTTGAAAAGAAGAAAACCAGAAACTTAACGTACTGTAAGAAACCTTAGAACAATTGGCATGGTTGATGGCAAATTCCAGTCATAAAAAATACATGCGTGTGAGGTAGTGCCAGTGATAGCGATGCCGATCATCACTAGCACGGTACTGGTTCGATGCAGCTCTGGGCTCACCATGTCTCCCATTCTTCCATGGCTGGAGAATTGTTACCGACCTTGTCCGGGAGAAAGCCAGACCTTGCAATATGAGTGGAAAAGCTCTGTCCGGGCTATCTTAGATGGTGGAATCGACTCGACCTGAAATCAACGACATTAGTGAAGCCACACTTGAAAATTTGAAAGATCTCGGCGAAGAGTACATGCGAGAAAAGAAACCGTTAGGTGTTGGGAATCGCACGGTAGATAAGAAAGGCAACTGCATAAAAAATACTTGCAAGGAAAATGGTACTGGCACAGTTAGGTAAAACCTCTTGAAAGTAGGTCAAAAAAATCAGTCCTCATTAACGAAAATAGAACCGCTAGCACGATGCTGCAAAAATGAGTTTTTTTTCTACACATTAGTCGCCTCATGTCTAGTTTGCAGATCCCAGCACTTCCAGCATTCATTTCGTTTTTTCGCACACATCTTGAAGTACTCGAGCTTCTTGAGTACGGGAATGGCTTCTCCTCGACAATTTTATCGTCTTCCTCAGAAATGTCATTAAATAGTGTTCGAGTCGGTTTTGCGTTGAATGCTGAGATAGCAGTGAAGAAGCGTCCATGCTTTAATTGAGTCAGCTGGTCGTAGACAATTCTGGTACCAATTGGCCGACCCCAGAGAGACCAGAGGCTTCGCGAACTCAAAAAGTGTATCGAACTAGATCCTATACCGTCCGCACACGATCGAGGTCGGTATCACCTCGCCACAACAAGCTGTATAAAGATTATCGTACTGTATCCTAAAGAAATTCCAACTTGGAACAATCAGCCACTCCAGAAGGCAAGTCATGGATTTCGCTGGATGGTCCATATTCCAACCATCTCCTTGTTCATAGAGCTCAGCTGAGAGTGCTGCCTGTTTCTTCTCCCAACTTCTGCCATCTGCAAAAATGAACTTGGAATTTTTTGAATGCGGTTCTTTCAACACCCTCGACAAAGAACTGGACTAGTCCTATGAATGAATCGAGCCTGCTGTTACCCTATGGCAGCGCAACACTGCTGTGTTCCCACAGAAGCCTTACCACTTCCATAAAGGTCTGACGACATGAGAAAATTTTGCTAAAGCTGGTCACCGCCGCATTGCAGTGGATAATGGAGGAATGAAATCAGTTTGCACACTAGCAGAAAAATACTTGGGAATTTTGGCTTTGCTTAAGACATTGTTGGTTTCTTGACTAGCGCCAATGAAGCGGGAAAAGTGCTCGATAAGCTCAACAAGGCGGGAGAAAATACTGGTTTGTACATAAACTCGACAAGGACCCAGTTCNAAGCGGGAAAAGTGCTCGATAAGCTCAACAAGGCGGGAGAAAATACTGGTTTGTACATAAACTCGACAAGGACCCAGTTCATGAAGAATAATCGTATAGCAACAGGAACCGCATTCGCGCCTCTTAAAAAAGCTACACGAGCTAATAGACCCTAAACTTCATGGCCACGTTTTTGACTTAACGGTCCTTCTATCGTTATTTTGTGGACCACAGTCGTGCGCTGGTAATTCAACGACGTCATTAACTCTGCTGAGCACCAACAAAGCGCTTGACCACTGCCGTCTGAAATGTTAAAATGGGGTTACCAATAAAGCATTGCATTGAATTATTGAAAAGAGTAGCAATGTAGAATAGAATTAGCCCTATTTCTGTCCTCAGTTTATTTTGAAAGTTAGTTTTTAAAACTTTAGTTGTATTCTATCCGTTTCGATGCATCTCCTCTTACATCAGAAAACTAGTTCCTAAAATTACAAAGAGCGAAACGTGTAGAGAAGCTGTAGAAACGGTACAGACAGCTCTTCTATCCCTCATTTTCCTTCTCTTTAGCTGTCCCATTTTCTTCATCACTGCTTTCATTAAGCTGACGAAAATTCAATGGAAGGAGAAGAATCTCAAAACAATTTTAGGAGCGGATGCACTGGTGCTTAAAAATAAGAAGT